ATGGGTCCTTCATATGTGGAGCTATCACTTATAATTCTATTCAGAATATGATTCATTAGGTGGGTCTCACGACGGGGCGTCTCATGCCTGGATCCCAGACAGCCGCCACGTGCACATGGTGAGCTGTTTTCCTGTGCCTGCTGGGTTTCGGGGGCCGCTTCCTTTGGGGTGAGTAGACCGAGGGGGGGAGGCCTCTGGGACTGGGCAGGTCCGGGACCCACCCGCCGCCTTCATGGGGCGGTGAATGGGATTTGGGAGGGGCGCGACCTTGGGCCTGGGTTATTTAAACCTCCAGCAGCCTCCTGGCAGCTGGTGGGTCTCAGGACGGGGCGTCTCATGCCTGGATCCCGGACGGCCGCCATGTGCACATGGTGAGCTGTTTTCCTGGGCCTGCTGGGTTTCGGGGGCCGCTTCCTTCGGGGTGAGTAGACCGAGGGGGGGAGGCCTCTGGGACTGGGCAGGTCCGGGACCCACCCGCCGCCTTCATGGGGCGGTGAATGGGATTTGGGAGGGGCGCGACCTTGGGCCTGGGTTATTTAAACCTCCAGCAGCCTCCTGGCAGCTGGTGGGTCTCAGGACGGGGCGTCTCATGCCTGGATCCCAGACAGCCGCCATGTGCACATGCTGAGCTGTTCCCGGGTGGCCAGTGCGCCATTGGTGCCAGGCTCTGCCTGCTGGCCGCCCGGCCGGGGAGCTCTGGGGATTTGGTTCTTTGAGTTGCTGCTTAATTAGGTCCAGGTTGAACCCATTGTGCTTCTTGGACCTGAAACAGGCAGTAACTCTTCCTTAGCAAAACTTGTAATCACTAATAATGCTGAGCACCAAATACCAGTCATGCAGAAGCTAGGGCTTGGGGCTTGTCCTGCAAAAGTAGCTCCAACAGTTGGCCAATGTGTCAACTGGTAATGGAACAGAGTAGATTAGGCACGACTGAGCAAACCTTAGCCCACAAGTAAAACTAGAAACCAGGAGGGAGCAAAGGTCATGCCGAGCTAGGCTCTTGTACCTGTTGGTCCGTGGGAGCCAGGGAGGCTAAGTCACAGTGTCTAAGGCAGAGTTCGGGACAGGGGAGGGGCTGTGCCAAGCTGAGTCAGAGCATCCATTGGCAGGCATGTGATCTATGGCTGGGAACAGACCCAGTTGGGGAGCAAAGGGGACAACCCTAGCTGGGCTGAGGTTCCCACCAAGAGGCGCGTGGCCTGGAAGGGGGGCTGCGTTCTGATCTGGAAACAGTTGTAGTCTCCCTTGGCACAAGTGTGGACTGGGATTGGATGCACCGAACCGGGTTGGACCCCGACTCCCCCTGGTGTTCTGGAGGACCAGGGCAGATGTGGGATGGACTAGGCAGGGTCTCAAACCCCTGCCTAGTGTGTGAGCCATATGTGGGTATGGACAAACCATGGCGGGGCTGGAACATCCAACAGCAAGAACCAGATTGGGTGGAAGGTCAGTCAGGAAAAGCCACAGTTCCTGCTATGACAGGAGGTGGACTGAGTAGGGTTGGCTCATGGACCCACTGGTAAGCGTGAAACCTGGCATTGGGAGAGGTTCTGATGGAGGAGCCTGGGCAACTCCTCTGGCAGGACACAGACCCTGCAGGTAAGCGCAAGAAACATGATAGGAAACAGCCCAGAAAAGGCCATGGAAAGCTACCCACTGGCATACAATTGGTAGACGTGGGGGCAAGACCAGGCTGAATCTGTCCACATCATCCATTGGCAAATCCAGGCACCAGTGTGGGTTGACCCAGGTTCGGTCGCAACAAAGACTAGTGCACATTATGGAATGCCGAGGTGAGGTTGCCTGTACCGGAAGGGACCGCAGCGTCCAACCAGCCTGAAAACAAGAAAGGAAGTGGGCAGAGCCGGCAGGGGAATAAGGGAGGGTTCCTTTGCTGGACAGCTACTTCCGCAGGAGAGCATGGGCTGGGATGGGGGCAGACCAGACTAGGCAGAGCTACCACACCTGTGCGCCTCATGTGGACTAGATCAGAGAAAAGCCAGGCTGGGCGGATTATTCCCAATGGGGCAAACAAAATTAAAGTGGGCGAGGGTTGTTTGGGCTTAGACGCAGCATCAACTGGAATCTGGGAGTGGGAGAGGCCTGGGACGGAAATAGTGGGCTCATCCCTCTTGGGTCACCACTCCCACAGGAGGACAGCTAAAACTAAGACAGCTGCTGGGGTGGAATGGGGTGTGGGACAGACTGGATTACTGCTACACTTACTGGCAAACCAGGGTAGGGGGTGGGCCTGGTGGGGGTTATTGTGGGTCGCTCCAACCTAGGCTGCAGCTCCCGCTGGTTTATGTGAAGGCCATGTATGTGCTGGGCAGAACCAGGCTGGACTGCAACACCCATTGGTTCCAGTGGAAGTCGGGAGTGAAAACAGAACCAACCCAGCAATTGCAACTACCAGCTGATTGGAGCGATGGACGGTGCCAGGCCCTGTACTTGTTAGCACATACAAGAAGTTTCTTTGGAGATCTTCCTAATCTAAATGCTGGACTCAGAACCCTAACGAAGAAAAGAGAGAAGACAGAACAGGTCAACCAACCACCTCAGCTATATGATGGACTATGTTAATCAGTGGATTTTTCAAAGACCTCATAGTGCTTGGAGTGGCAAGATTGGCAGCGATTCATAACTGTGGCAATATCAAAACCACTTGAGCAAGAACCTCGGAGCATGCCCTACATCCGGGACCTGGGGAGGGTGGGAAATTGGGTGGGCTTCTCCCTTAAATACCCCCCTTTAAATATGAAGCTAACAATATGGAAAACATACTAGTATTATCCACTTTCCTGTAGCCCTTGAACCTTCTTATCCTAATTAACTATGTAAAGAATGTCAAAATAAAATTTATTAATTAAAAAAAAGAATATGATTCATTAATACCCATGTAATACGTAATTATCCAAAATAGCATTATGTGCTTTAAAAAAATTTTTTTTTTTAGTTGCAAAGTAAAATACAGAGGAGAGAAAGAGACGAAGATCTTCCGTCCGTTGATTCACTCCCCAAGCGGCTGCAATGGCTGGAGCTGAGCCAATCCAAATCCAGGAACCTAGATCCTCTTCCGGGTCTCCCACAAGGGTTCAGGGTCCCAAGGCTTTGGGCCATCCTTGACTGTTTTCCCAGGGCACAAGCAGGGAGCTGGGTGGGAAAGGGGTGGCAGGGATTAGAACCGGCGCACATATGGAATCTTGGCACATTCAAGGTGAGCACTCTAGTTGCTAGGCTACTGAGCCAGGACCTTACTTTTTTTTTTTTTTTTTAAGATTTTAAAAAAATTTTTATTAAAAAGGCAGATTTACAAAGAAAAGGAGAGACAAAAAGAGAGATATTCTATCCGCTGATTTACTCTCCAAGTGGCCACAGTGGCTTGAACTGAGCAAAGTCAAAGCCAGAAGCCAAGAGCCTCCTCTGGTCTCCCACATGGGTGCAGGGTTCCAAGGCTTTGGGACACCCATGAACTGATGGCCATATGGGATCCTGGTGCTTGGAGGTGGAGTATTTGGCCAATTGAGCCATCATGCAGGCATTGTGACAGGCCCTATGTGACATACCAATGATGCAATCCACACATTTTCTATAGTGTTTTATTTCCTGAACATGCTGTATTAATTATGATTATATCACACATTATGATAAAGCAAGAGAATAAAAATAATAAAGTGATTAATACAATCAAAATAAGGAAAAAATAGGAAGTATGAAGAAGAGGTTAAACACCCTCTTGTACAATGTTATTTGTGGGTCTGGTGCGATAGCATAGTGGTTAAAGTCCTCACCTTGCACGTGCTGAGATTCCATATGGGTGCAGGTTTTAATCCCGGCGGCCTCGCTTCCCATCCAGCTTGTGGCCTGGGAAAGCACTTGAGGATGGCCCAAAGCCTTGGGACCCTGCACCCACGTGGGGGACCCAGAAGAGCTCCTGGCTCCTGGCTTTGGATTGGCTTAGCTCTAGCCGTTGCGGCCGCTTGGGGAGTGAGCCATCAGATGTAAGATCTTCCTCTCTGTCTCTCCTCTCTGTAAATCTGCTTTTCCAATAAAAATAAATAACTCTTTAAAAAAATGTTATTTGTTTTAAAACAGAGATGTGTCTAAAGCTGAATTTGAGCCCTCCTGGGTCTCTCAGTGCCTTGAAGACACTGATCGGAAGTGTCCTGATCATGTGGTTGGGTTAAGTGCTATGCATGGGCACCTCCAAGAACCTCCCTTCCACACCGGTCACCTCCTCTAGCTGCCTGGCCTATCTGTTCTGGAGGGGTCGTTGGACTGAGGGGCAGCTTCAGCAGACCTGCTACACTGAGGTTAAACTATTAGCTAGCATTCTATTTGTTTTAGCTTAACATCCCTATCACCAAAGAGGTATAAGATATTCTTTCTAGTAAACAGCCTTGATTTTGCCACATCATCAATTACCAGGCAGGGCTGTACTTTGCTGTGCCCACAAAATTACAGCATTTCCCACTATAAGGAAAGATAATTTTCCTTCAGTTAAATTAATAAATATTAATAAATTAACTAAACATTAAAATTAATTAAAACTAATTAAAATTGATTACTTTTTAAATTTAAAGTTAATTTAAAAATAATTAACCAATAAAATTAATTAATAAAAATGAGTAATTCCCCAATCTACAACATCAATGTATAATGCCAGAACCAGATTAAAAGTCTTCTCATTTGGACTGATTTGCTTTCTACCTCTTATATTCCCAAACACCTCAGACACACAAGGCACAAGACACACAGGCACACAAGGCTGGGGTACAATAGAAGCCAAATTAACCTGTTTTGAACACAATGGGGTCAAACCCTTTTTACCTTTTAAGGAAGGAAATTAAAGTTTCAGGAGGGAATCTTCATATGGACACTCTGACCAGCAACTGATGATGTTTCTTACCGGCGATGCTGATTGGTTCTTCAACACTGAGATTATCCAATCTGGGCCTAAAGAAATGAATATCTTTGTTTCTATTAATTGGCATGTAGGTGGATAAGGGTCACAGTTGTCACGGAGACTTGCCTGCTCCTCTGGCAGCTGCTGCTCCTGCTGTCCAGAATGCTGTGTTTGTGGTTCTCCAGAGGCTCCTGCGTGGCGGCCCTGCCAGGGACACTGGTGTTGCTGAGTTCTGCCCTGGCTTTGGCCAGGGACACCCGTAAGTGCACACTTAGATGCTGGGTTCTTATTGGGTGGGGAGGGAAGGGAGTTACTTTGTCATGGAGTCAGGCTGGGTTCCTTGTAACATTGTGGCACTATCTTTGGTGACCACCTGTCTTTATCTTTTGGCTGTTAAATATTTCACCAAAGGAGAGTGGATGCTTGTCCTCTTTGTGTGAGATCTGCCTAAGAGGCTTGTGCTCCAGGCTGTTTTTTCCCAGTTCTCCTCCAGTCTTACCCCCCCCCCCATTCATGCACCATGCGTCTTCAGTCTTTAGAATGCTTAGATATAATGATGATGAAAAAAAGTCTCCAAATAGCGCTTCACTTCATTACACTGAGTTTAGCCAGAAAAAAAGGAAGTGTGTCTGAAACTTCTGTGGGAATCAAATGAAATTCAAAGTTATCCTAGAACTGGCCTAATGTGCTCAACAGGATTTGTGGGGTTGGTGTCCCTCTCGATGTGCGGGCTGTATCACCAGTCCTCTACCTGCTCGCTATCCTCCCTGAACTCCACCTGCAGAAAGCTCGTACCCTGAGCTCAGGGGTTCTCTGACAGGAGCCAGGTTAGTTTTTCTCTCCTCTCCTTTCTCTCTTCTCTCTGTTGTGGAAAAGCATTCTGTAACTGAAGCAAAGATCCTGGTGCTTGGAGTAACCTTGTAGTTAAGGAGCAAAGCTGAGTTGTTCTTTGGTGCTCTAAGAACGTGAAGCATCTCTGAAGGCCCGCGGTGGTGGCCGCTCACTGCAAACTATTTGAACCTTTTACACTGTAAATTTCTACTGTGTTTCCCACATTCTCTGAGTGGAGCCCACCAAGGGGGATCGGGCAACTGATGTTGGGTAAATTATATGAAGCTCTATTTTTGCAAGTCAAAGATGGAAACAAAATCAGCAATGTCGTGTGTGTCACTCTACACACCCTGTGTGATACCGAGAGATGGGGTAAAAGCTGTTAAAATTGCCCGTGCTAAAAACCCTAAAGAAGCGAACAGAACTTCCTGGCTTACAGGTGTGTCTTATCCCAAATTCCTTGGGTTTATTATCACAGTTTCCCCTAGTTAGCCATCTCTCATTCCCTTTCCCACCAGCTTCTCCCCATCCTTTCTCCAGTTCTGTCATTACCATGACTACAGATCCCTGACTTTACTGAGAGCCTCTGCACTGCAGGGGATCCATTAGAGCAGGTGCAAGAACGAACATTTTTTTCTTAAAATCATCCTTTCCTTATCTGTGAATACTTCTGATAGGAGGGGTAAAAGGGTCTGAATTTCCACAGAAGTGGAGTGATACAATGTGTTAAAAAGAAAAAGCAGAATTGGGTTCTTTCTTGTTTTCCAGGGACCCCAGAATGCTGGTTTGTTCTTTGGGGAACCTTTGGCCCTCAGATCATGAGATCACTTGGTCTGGCCTCCCAAGGCAATCCTAGGCAGGATTAAAATTCACTATGTCTAGCTGGGTGAATAGCAATGGTTTTGTATGGGCCAGAATGCTGTTATAAATATCCAATGATCCCTGGCAGTTCCTCACCATGCGATAATTTTTCAAGTCCCACCTTACTGTTGCTCTTCACCTGCTGGGCACTCTGAGTTCCCTGGGTCAGCTATTAGTCCCCGCCCAGACTCTGCACATCTCACTCAGCTCACACCTGGATGTGGTCAGTATTGGCTCCCTGTCCAGCAGGTTGGTTGGCTTTAAGTGTCATGAGGGAAGGGATGATGTCAGTTGTTCCCTTTTTTGGGGGAACTATATGGGGTCTAAGTGCAGGCTGAGCACCAGATGGGCCTTAGGGCATGTTTCCAGGAAGAAGTGGTTGATGCATTAGAGGACTGACCTGGAGTCTCGCGGTGAGAGGTGTTGGCTACAGGTGAGGCAGCAGGTGGGGGTGCCTGGGTGGGGCAGGGGGGAAGGTGCAGTGCTGGGGTCAGTGCAGTGGGTGTGGAAGACAGGAAGGTGTGAGGAGCACAGCTTCCCTGCAGGAAAGGCTGCAGGGAGCTTTCTGCTGCATGCCAAGGCCCAGTGGATGTCTCTGCAACCACCTCAAGGCAGTTCCACTCTCCTTTGCATGGACACCTGACCACCCAGCTGAGAGTTCTGTGATCTATTGAGGCACTGTTTGCAGCTGAGGAGTTGGTTTTTATTTTCAATGTGCGCTTGGAAGTTGACGTTGCTGATGACTCTTGGCAAAAGGACCTTTTACAATTCCAAGCTCTCTGCTGCCCCCATTGACCATCCTTGATCTTAAGGTCCCTCCTTCTGTGATGCAATTCCTCCCATAACTGATTCAAGGTTAAGTTGTAGAATGAGGATTGCAGTAGGAATGTGTTACTGATTGATGTGTGCTGGCTATTGAGAACTTCCCGACCACAGGGTCAGGATGGATAAAATCCTGCTTTAAGGTGAAACAAACGACAGAATTATATTTGAAACTGTTATAGGATTTTTGACCCCGAACAAGGCAGCAATCTCAATTCTTGTCTCACGGGAAAGAAGAATTTTCATGCGGACATAGTTTAGTCTTAAAGCAAGATTTATTAGAAAAGTTGAGAAAGGAGGCTCCTGTCCTAGTGACAGGAGGGGCTTGGAGATAGAAAGACCCATACCTCCTGTCTTAAGTGGCAGGAGGAGGAAAAGAAAGACCCTAGATCTCTGCCATAGAGGCAGGAGGAAAAGTGGAAAAGAAAAAACCCGTATTAATGGCAGGGAAAGCAGGTTTTAAAGGTTCGCTTCAAACATGTTTCTCCTTAAACAAGCAGAATTTCTGGTTTCCATAGTACCTGGCCTTGGACAAAAGATCAGAAAGGTGTCACCAGCCAACTTCCTTGGTCCCTTTCTAATGATAAAGAGGCCAGTCTGAGGCCCTCTCCCTTGGCAATGGTCAGAGACAGAACTGGGATGACACTTCAGGTGGGGAATTGGTATGTTAATATCGCCCTTGTCTCTTTGGGAAGCGTGTTCTTGATACGTTAAAATATACACTTGTCTCTGGTGAATCCAAGATGTGGTGGGGCAAATACCCTTTTATATTTGAGAGAGAAAAAAAAAAAAAAGAGATGACTTGGAGACCCAGAAAACCCTAACTGCCTCCTACCTAGTCTAACTCCTCTCTCACAACACCCATTTGACCATGACATAAAAAGCCTGTGTCAGAGTTTGCGACTGCTTCTGTATATAGGGAACAGCTTCTTACATTATTCATTATGATCCTAAAATTGTGGCTGTCCATTTGTCTTTAATTTATGTCTACTCCACCCACCCTTCCCCAGTTCCGAACTTGGCTAGAGCTAGCTGGCCTCCGGCAGTGCAACCCCCCACTGGGGTCCCCAGGAAGCGGGGAGACACTGAGGTCAGCATGGCTGCTGATCAGGAGGCTGCCCGCCCCGTGTTGGACCCTCAGGAGCCGAGAAGGGACAAACAGCCTGGGGCGCCGAGGTTCATCGGGTGTCTTAGGCCGCCGCTCCCCGGCGCCCCCTACTGGCGGGCGTGGGCGTCAGTCTCCTCCCGCAGGCCGCCCCTGTGACCCGGTCTCTGTCCCCGCAGCCTTTTTCCTGGAGCAGGTTAGACATGAGTGTCACTTCTACAACGGGACGCAGCGGGTGCGGTTCCTGGACAGATACATCCACAACCGGCAGGAGTTTGTGCGCTTCGACAGCGACGTGGGCGAGTACCGGGCGGTGACCGAGCTGGGCGAGCCGAGCGCTAAGAACTGGAACAGCCAGCCGGCTACTCTGGAAGACCGGCGGGCCCAGGTGGACACGTACTGCAGACACAACTACGAGATCAGTGAGAGCTTCTTGGTGCCGCGCCAAGGTGAGCGGGTCGGGCGGGTGGGGACCCTCGGGCGCTGCCCGCTGTGAGGAGAACCTTCGGTCTGAGTTACCGGCCTTGTTTCACTGTCTCTTTCTCCGTGTCAGGTGTTTACGTAGTTAAAAGGACCACGAAGCTGGCTTAGAGTTAGTTTGACTTAACATCCTGATGTTAACATTTTAATGTCAGTGGCACTGAATTTGTCAGATATTTCCCTTTGTGTATCCCTGATGCAATTTACCGAACATTCCCCCTTTGTTTCATATATATTTTTGAAGATTTATTTATTTTTATTGGAAAGGTTTGATATACAGACAGGAGGAGAGACAGAGAGGAAGATCTGTACGATGGTTCACTCCGCAAGTGACCAACAGCCGGAGCTGAGCCAATCCGATGCCAGGAGCCAGGAGCTCTTCCGGGTCTCCCACACAGGTGCAGGGTCTCAGGTGCAGGGTATCAAGGCTTTGGGGCATCCTTGACTGCTTTCCTAGGCCAGAAGCAGGGAGCTGGATGGGAAGCAGGGCCACTTGGATTGGATCCGGCACGATATGGGATCCCTGCACATGCAAGGCGAGGACTTTAACCACTACGCTATCGCACCAGACCCATGTTTCGTGTTTTAAAAATATTCCTCACTACACTGCTCTGTGTGTGTGTGTGTGTGTGTGTGTGTGTGTGCGCGCGCGCGCGCGCTGCTCGCGCGTATGTGTCAGGGAGGCAAGGGGGGGGGGGATTGTTCGGCGAGCCACAGCAGATGTGGGGTCCAAGGATCAGGGTGCTCGTTTTGGCCTGAAGTTAAGCAGCTGCTTAAGACACCCATAGCTAGTTTGATCCAGGCTGCTCCATGTAGGATCCAGCTTTATGATAATGGTCCTGGGAAAGCTTCTGAGGATGCACCAAGTGCTTGCGATTTCTTGCACCTGTCTGGGAGAGCCAGCACAAATGATTTTCCAGGAATGTTCCATGCAGCTGCTCTTTCGTGATGCCATTGCTCAGAGCTGGCTTTGGCCTGACTCGCCCTTGGCCATTCTTGTTATTTTCAGAGTGATCCAGCGAATAGAACATCCTTTGTACCTCTTTTTTTCCCACCATTTCTATCACTCTGACTCCAAATACATAAATAAAAATTTAAAAAGTGAATCATTTAAAAACCAGGTGATGCCCAAGTTATTTGTATAAAATGATGCTGTATTTCCCTACAACCTGTGGATAACTTCTCCCCTTCACAGCGTCTCTGGGCACTGAGGATGCCAAGACTGGCAGGGTAAATACCAGGCAAACACTGGTTACACAGTGTTGCTCAGGAAATTGTGGCAAAATCAGAGGTGTGAGTGTTCAGTGTGGTCAGTTCCATCCCTGCCCACCAGATACCTTTGATCTCTAGCAGGGGGAATTTCACTGGACCAAGCTTGAGGATCCAGACAGCACATGGTGCTCTAAAACATTTCACATTGCTTTATCTATTTATTTATTTTTATTGGAAAGTTAGATATACAGAGAAGAGGAGAGACAGAGAGGAATATTTTTTGTCTGCTGGCTCACTCCCCAAGTGGCCACAATAGACAGAGCTGGGCTGATCAAGAGTCCAGGAGCCCAGAGCCTCTTCCATGTCTCCTACGTGGTGCAGGGTCCCAAGGTTTTTGGCCATTCTCGACTGCTTTCGCAAGCAGGGAGCTGGGTGGGAAGCAAGGGTGCCGGGCTTAGGACCAGTGCTCATATGGGATCCTGGCACGCGTAAGGTGAGGACCTCAGCCGCTAGGCGACCTTACTGGACCCATATACTTTACTTTTAATGTCTAGTTTCTTTGTTTCTAGGTTTCTTGAATATTCTTCACATTTTTGAAAGCTTTTCATTGTTTGTATTTTTGAGTCACTGAGAGAGAAGCAGGAGAGAGAGAGGTTTTTCATCTGCTATTTCCACTAAATTGATCTGACGTCAAAGCCAGGAGCTTATTCCAGTTCTGCCATATGGTTTCTGGATCTGGAGCACCAGGCCATCCTCTACTGTTTTCCCAGGCTGTCAGGAGGGAGCTGATGGGAAGTGGAGCAGCCAGGACTTCACTGGTACCCAAAGCATGCAGATGCTCTAGGCAGTGGCTCTACCCACTATGCCACAGAAACTCTCCCCTCTATTTCACATTTACTGGCCAATTGTGACTGTTCAGTGATTACCTATTTTGTCTTACTTCTGGGTTTTGAGTTTTTCTGAGCCGTGGTTTTCATATGGAGCAGCATTTTAACACTTGTTGGTCTTTGATTCTGATTTTTTTTTTTTGGCTTATACTTTATATTTAGAAACCATATATTACTCTACATAATAAGAATGTAATGTTCTACTTAGTGAAATGCATTGTGATATTGTTCATAATGAGTTTTCAGCAGTCTTAAATCTATCACTTTGTGTGTTAAATATGTCCCCTCCAGGTTTCTCTCAGCCAAAGTGCTATGTTGAGGCTGTCAGTGTCAGGGATGGGAGAGGTGTTAAGAATACATGTTGGTGATTGGCAGACCATGCACTGTTCTCAAGTTTAGAAAGAGAGATAGCTGTAAAACCCTGACGATAATAGTTGTGTTTCTTCTGCAAGCAGTGGTTGTTGAGCTGTTCAGAATATAGGCTCTTCTCTCCTTTCGCTTTGCTCAGGACTCCTGCTCCAGACTGGGGCCTCGGTATGGGCAGAGGCAGAGAGCAGCCAACAAAAATAACAATGTTTCTGGGGTGTCCTAACCTGTGAGTCTGCAGAGGCAACCTTCCTTTGCAGCAGGTGGTACAGAGTCACATTTTCCCTCAGAGAAATCAAGGACGACATACAGCTGACAGAGCGTAAATTCCAGTTATTGCATTATATATTCTAGATGCATTCATCCCCATGTCACCACAGTCTCAGTATTTCCTAGGTGAGAAAAATGAACTAGAGAAAATCCATAAATCTCACCCAGGATCCATACTAAGAGGCAAAGACTGAATTTTAATGTGGACAATTGACCCCAGCAGTATCCTTTTAATTCATTTGCTGTCTGTTTTGCAGATTAGTAAACCCTTCAATAATGAATGATTTCTCCAAGTTGAGAAAACTAGATGAATGCAATTTTCCTTGACATTCTAAAAACTAGAGGTTCCCTGGTATAAGAATCAAAATTAAAAAACAAAACAAAAACAAAAAATCAAAATCAAGGCTCAGCATTGTAGGACACACAGCTGTCTTTGAGGAAGGCCTGCCTGAGCCTGGAGCATGGGTGTGGACAGAGGCAGAAGGAACCCCCAGGGAGGACTCCTGGGCCCACCTACCTGATCCTTCTCCCTGTGTCTTCCAGTTGTGCCACAGGTCACCGTGTACCCTGCCAAGCCCCAGCCCCTGCAGCACCACAACCTCCTGGTGTGCGCAGTGAGTGGCTTCTACCCAGGCAGCATCCAGGTGCGATGGTTCCGCAATGGGGAGGAAGAGGAGGCTGGTGTGGTGTCCACAGGCCTGATCCGGAATGGAGACTGGACGTTCCAGACCCTGGTGATGCTGGAGACGGTTCCTAAGAGTGGAGAGGTTTATAGCTGTCATGTGGAGCACCCGAGCGTGAGCAGCCCAGTCACTGTGGAATGGAGTGAGCAGCTTCCTGACCTACAAACCCCTGCCTGACCAGGAATGTGCCCGAGTGTCAGGCCTCTCCTTACCATGACACCTTTCCTTTAGTGCAGGTCACCGGGGAAAACCCTGTAGAAGGTTCTACCTTTACCTCTGTGGAAAGGAATGCCCCCACATGGCACAAATAGATTGTCTTTGTTTTGAACCTTCCCATAACATCACATATCGCGGTCATCCCCTTAGCCCTTGGCTCCAGACCCTGCCTGCAGTACTGGGCTTGTGTTTCTGGTTCTGCTGCTCTGATGCTCACTGAGATCTGAGCAGAGGGTCAGGGCAGGGGTTTCTGACCCTTGAGGAGTCCACTCTCACCTCTGCTACAGGATCAGAACCCACTCTCCCAGAATCCTCACACACCAGGTGTTGTCTCAGGCCTTGATGTTCGGTGTGTTCTGTGCCTGAGGCATGTAGATGCTCAGTGTGATTCTCAAGTCTGTCTCACATTGGCCAGTTCCTGTAGCTCTTCTGGTTCAGGCTACTTCCCTGGGTCTCTGGTCTCCATGAGGGAGGTTGGGTTTATGTTCAAATGCCTGACTCTGGTTTCACCCTCAGGAGCTCAGTCTGATTCTGCGCAGAGCAAGATGCTGAGCGGAGTTGGGGGCTTTGTGCTGGGACTGCTGTTCCTGGGGCTGGGGCTGTTCATCTACTTCAGGAGCCAGAAAGGTGAGGACCTGTTCGTGGTGAGGACCTTGTTAGCCTTAGCTGGGGTAGAGATAGGATGTTTCGTCAGCTTAGTTATGTGTTCATTATTGACACTTTATACTTACCCTTTGATCCTAAATTTCCTGAAAATATAGACATCAACAGTGCAAGGGACTGGGTCAAAACAGAAGAGGTTATGTTTCATAGAGATAATGAAAAGTTAATAAAGATAGGTTGGTGGATTGTGAACCTGGGCCAAGCACTGAGTAGCCACTGAGGCAATTTAAGTTGCACCAACTTTGTGTGACAGCAGCGTCCTTGTTCCCAGGCTGTTGTGTTGTGCTCTAATCTCTGATGTGTGTGGTGCGGGATGTGGTTTGTAGAGAGGCCTAATTTGACAAATATTGGACTGAGACTTTATATTTTGGGTCTTGAGATATCTCCACATCTTTTAAGCAAGTATGTTCTCTCCTTCCCAGGGCGCTCTGGACTTCAGCCAACAGGTAATGCACTTTCATATTCTTCTAGTTTCAAATATGGTTTACCCTGAGTGGAGGCAATGTGAGTCAGAAATAATGGGGAACAAATGGGAATGAGACTTGTGATCAGGAAGTTTGCATGAGACTCTTCATTCATCAAGAGGCACATGCTCTGTGTTGACTTATGTTGAGGGAAGCAAAGATTGATCTTCCTTCTCGCTGTGCTGTGATCACATGTAGCCATGAGAGAGGGAAAAACAACAGTTTTCAAAGTTAGTTCTGACAGCAACACTCTTCTCTGTCATCTGCAGGGCTACTGAACTGAAGTGAGGATGGCGACACTCAGGGAAGAACCTCTGCCCTTGGCTTCATATCAGAGGAAGGTTCTTTGCGCCCTGTTGTTCTCTGGAGATTTTGGTTTCTCAGGTTCTGTTTCCCGTGTGATTTAGTGACCTGCAGGAAGAGTCCTCCCTCCAGCTTCCTCAGCCTCTGACTTTGACACAGACGTCCTGATACTGAGGGCGGTGCCTTCCCTGACTGCTTGCTGTTTGGCTCTGTGTTTTACCCTTACTGCCTCCCCTGCTCTGATCTCACATTACTTTATGACATTTTCCCCAATAAACATGAAATAAAAATATCTTCTGCTTGCTCCAACTTCAAGAAGAAGAAACGAGGAGAGTGAAGATCATATAACATGCAATGATAGTTTTCTTTACTATGTTAAATGATGTATGTGTCAAATAGTCTGTGTTGTGCATTCCACATGTATAGATATCAAAACATCATGCAGCTCACTTTATACACAATTTTCTTGTCAGTGAACTAAGAAAATAAAAGCAAAAGAAGAGAGGTCAGTGAAAAGTTTAAGAAGGCCATGAATAAAAATGGAAAACAGGATGTAACAATGGAACTAAACAACAAAAGGTGGTATTATGAGCAACATGTTGAAAGTCAAAAAACGTTTTGGCCTTTGTGTAAAATGTGGAGTAACCACAGTCGGAAAGCACCACATACATCTAAATTTCATCAGCTTCATTAGTTTAGTGTTCTAGAGGTGTTGGTGATATGTATTAGTCGGCTCTTGTTGCTTTAATAAAATAGCCAAAATCTACTTCTGGGTAGGGAAAGGTTTATTGTGGTTCACAGTTAGGAGGTCACAGTTCTGGACTGGGCAGCCCTTAGTCTGCTGTGTAATGAAGACTGGCAGTGGTGGGGTGTGCCCTGGGATGATCACATGGGAGCGAGAGGCAGAGGCAGATGCAGAGAGGGTCTTGGGAGCAATCACCAGCATTCCAGAGAGGCTGCATGAATAGGAAGCCAGATCAAGAAAGAACAACTGGAACTGTAATTGGCACTCTGAAATGGATGCCAGCCTTTGAAGTGGGGGCTTAATGTGCTATGCTATTATGCCAACCATGACAGATGTGTTTTAATAAGCATATTTGGTAAGAATTCACTGATTGTTAAATACTGAAATTATTACTGAGAGTTATAATTGGATTTCAGAATTTTGAGGCAACATTGTCTTTAACAAGAGTGAGATTTAGACAGGAACAAAGGATGACTTTCTAGAAGATAAACGAAATAATGTCATTTGCAGAGGAGAGTGACAATGGTGATGAGGGAAATTTTTAGAAGGAGTTAAAGTTGCTATTCATTGTTGGCCTGAACTCTATGAAGTTTTGCTCTTCAATCAAGTGGGTAATCTTTTTGATTAGGCATCAGGCATACCCATGAATTAAACTGATAAAAGTGATTTTCATAAGAGAATCATTGGTTGTCTTCAGAAAGTGAACATGATGCTGTATGAGGTATGGCTGAACCTAGGGAATCTGGAATCACAGAACTTGTTTAGTGGGGTGTCATTTAACACATATGGTCATTTTGGAAATCTGTAATCACCATAGTTGTATTCTCTGCTTCTGCAGGGATGGCTGGAAATAAGAACGTGATGTATAAAATGTCCTTAGTGCTATTCTAAGAACAAATCCTAGAGCTGAAATGTGCTCAGAAGATTTTGTTGATTCCTCTCACATCATGGATTGCTACTTGACTGTGAGCCTCCTGTGCCTGTGTGATATTAGAGCAATGCGGGAAATGTGTCCTTGATTCAGTCCTCTGAGGAGGAAAAGAAAATACACAAATATCCACCTGACTAGAGAATAGTGGAAAAATCAGCCTGCACAGGCACCTTATAGTCTCATCAACATCCACTCACCCGTGGGCTTATGGGAAGATCAGCTCCATTCCTGAGTCAGGTTATACTCATAAGCTCAGCTGAGTTCATTATGAGCTGCATCTATATGCACAAGGTTGTAAATGAATCTCATTCCCAATGAAGACCCCTACAGAGTGGACCCTCCTTACCTAAAGCAGGAGGCTTTAGATAACATAAGTAAATCTGTAATAAAGATAGAGATGCAAAGATTATTTTAAAGCTCACTTTTGCATGTCCTAGTGGGCATTCCACATATGTTACTCTACACAGAGAGATGGAATTTGACAGCTTCCTAAAAGACTGATCAAAGTAGAAATCACTCAGCAAAGATTTCAGGGTTGGGCCCTCTAAAATTTAGCTCGTGTGTAATTGCATCATTTACAAGGGCACTTCAAAAAGCTAATGGAAAAATGTTATGAAGCTTACTTTGGTACAAAAAGTCTGAAATCTGTGTTGAAATGCATAGTTCTTTCTTTTTTTCCCTTTTTTTAATCATATTTTTGATAATCTTTACATAGTTAATTAGGGTAAAAAGGTTCAAGGGCTATAGGAAAGTGAGCAAGACAATTATTTCCCTATTGTTTCCTTCATGTTTAAAAGGGGTTATTAAGGGAGAAGGCCCACCCAGTTTCCCACCCACCCCAGGTCCGGATGTAGGACATGCTCCGAGATTCTTGCTCAAGTGGTTTTGATAGTTCACCAGTTATGAATTGCTGCCAATCTTGCCACTCCAAGCACTATGAGGTTGTTGAAGAATCTGCTGATTGACGTAGTCCATCTTAGAGTTTCCATTTGCCCAGTATTTCGCTGCCAACATATAGCTGAGGTGATTGATTGACCTGTTCTGTCTTCTGTCTTTTCTTGGATAGGGTTCTAAGTCCGGCAGTTTGGGGAGATCCCCCCAAAAACTCTGAGGTGTTCCCAGACCAGATTCTTGTATGTACTATCAAGCACAGGGCTCACCACAGTCCATTGTCCCATTCAGCTGGTGGTTGCAATTGCCGGGTTGGTTCTATTTTCAGCCCTGACCTCCACTGGAACCAATGGGTGTTGCAGTCTAGCCTGGTTCTGCCCAGCACATACTCAGCCCTCGCATAAACCAGTGTGCCGGAGTCCAGCCCCAGCTGAGTTCGGAACTCGCGAAGGGTGCGTGGATGAGGCGCAAAGAAAGCGACGGACCACTAGTAACTCTTCATCATCATAATGGACCACGCACAAAAGCTGTCCGCTTTATTTATACAAAATCAGTCAAACTCTGGCTCAGACTTTTTACGTCATGGTCAAGTGGGTGTTTCTAAAGATAACTCTGCCATTTGTTTCACCTAAGGCTAGGATGTTAACCACCTGGTGCCTGGCGCCTGGCTAGGAAAAGGTTTTCAATAGATGATGCATATCAGTCAGTAGCACATTCTTACCACAATTACTTTACAGCTAGGTCTTGAGACAGTCAAGGAAGGAAGGGACCTAAAAGATCAAAGAAAGAGGGAAAGAATAGATTCCACTACACCTGAAGACAGAGCACCCTTGATTAGCATAGGATCAAAAGGGGAGTTAGCACCCTTTATTAGCATATTGCCACAGGATGCAGCCCTAACAGCGATAATAGCTCTTTGGCTAAAAACGGCACCAGCAACATTAGCTTCTAAGTTCCTATTGATATTAAACAGTAACTCCGCAGAGGCAGGCAATGCCTACATAGATTACAGAATACTCAGCGGGGTTGTCTGGTGTCCATGCAAAGGGAGGCAGAGCTGCATTCAGGTGTTGTAGAGACATCCGCCGGGTCTTGCCACACAGCGGGAAGTTCCTTGCGGCCTTGCCTGCAATAGAACGATACTCTTCACACCTTCCTGTCTTCCACATCCATCACATGGACCCCAGCACCAGTGGGAGCTGCAGCCTAGTCAGAGCAACCCGCAATAACCCCCCACCCTGGTTTGCCAGTATGTGTAGCAGACTAGTCCAGTCTGTCCCATATCCCATTTGGCTCTCGTACATGTCGATGGGTATTGAAGCTTAGTTCCATCTAACCAGCTCAACTATCCAGCCCTCATGGATGTTGTTGAGTGCCTCTCTGTCTAGCCACCCCAGCCCCTGTCCTAGTTTTTGTGCCCTCCCATGGGAGTGGTAACCCAAGAGGGGGAACCCACTATTTCCCTCCCAGGTCTCTTTCACTCCCGGATTATGCACTCTCCAGGTGGTTCTGTGGTTTGACTTGACAGAATTAGCCCCCAGTGCCAGCTTCTGCCAGCTGATGCTGTGGCTAGTCCCAAACAACCCTCACCCACTCTAATTTATGCTTGCACCAGTAGGAATAATCCACCCATCCTGGCTTTTCTCTGATCTAGTCCACATGAGGCCCACAGGTGTTGTAGCCCTGCTTAGTCTGGTCTGCCCCCATCCCAGCTAATGCTCTCCAGTGGGAGTAGCTGTCCAGCAAGGTAACCCCCCTCCCTTCCTGGTTCTCACGCTTGCTGGTTGGGCACTGCAGTCACTTCCAGTACAGGCAACCTCACCTTGGCATTCCATATTGTGCATTAGTTTTTGTTGTGACTGAACCTGGCTCGACCCACACTGTTCTGGTGCTTGGATTTGCCAGTGGATGATGTGGACAGATTCAGGCCTGGTCTGTCCCCATCCCATGCCAAATGTATGCCAGTGGCAAACTTTCCATAGCCTCTTCTGGGCTGTTTCCTATCATGTTTTTTGCGCTTACCTGCAGGGTCTGTGTCCTGCCAGAGGAGTTGCCCAGGCTCCTCCATCAGAAACTCTCCCAGTGCCAGATTTTGCGCACACCAGTGGGTCTATGAGTCAGCCTTACTCATTTCACCTCCTGTCCTAGCAGGAACAGCGGCTTTTCCTGACTGGCCTTCAACCCAAGCTGGTCCTTGCTGTTGGATGTTTCAGCCCAGCCACAGCTCATCCATACCCACTCACAGCTCACACATGGCTCAGTAGGGGTTGAGACCTTGCCTAGTCCATCCCACATCTACCCTGGTCCTTCAGGACACCAGATGGTGTTGGGGTCTGGCCCGGCTTGGTGATCCAGTTGCATAGTTTTTTCCAATATGCATTTTTCTTTAATTATGTGAAAACTCCTCTCCTGTGGTTTTACTTCATGATCTCTAAGTAACACACTGGAGGTATGGAGGTGGTCCTTTGTCAATTCCCCTGGGGATCCTGGGAAGGATCACACTGCTGTTGGCTGCCAAAGCATTTAATCTTCCTGCAGACAGGGTTTATACAGAACAGACAACCCAGGGTCAGCTACTTGGAGCACAACATTTACTGAATGTCAGAGGGCTTCAGGTCATCCTGGGCCTTAGAGAACAATGCTTTTCCATGGAGAGATTCTGCTCTTCTGAAGTGATCAACTCTGCATTCACTGGCTAATGTTTGGAAGTACTTGATATCCAATT